GTAGCTTCAACAAGTCCACTCTCATCATCCAAGGAACGTCTCTCAGTGCAAAGCACCAAAAGCAAGATGAAGCTGAACTCCTTTAAACACCAAACGTTCCTCCTGTGATGATCCATCAAGATGCTTTGAACAGATTGTTTCTCTGACTGTTTGTCTCTTTAATAATAATGTCTGGACTAAAGGACAAACACACAGGAGGCAGAGGACCAGCATCTAAACATCCAAGTGTTGTTTGAGTTGTTAAGAGCCCACAAACCTGCAGCGTGACCACGTTGACTCATATCAACCCACCATGATGCCGTCAACGTGTCAGGAGACACTGTCCTCTCTTATAACGTGGAGACAAGACAAAGCTCCAGAGAAACAAGCCTTTCATCACCTTCCTCCCTGTTCATGCTCATCCTGGCTACTGTTCCTCACTACTTCTGTCTGTGTTGATGGCCTCATGTGGGACACAAAACACTTTGATGAGTCTCTGGTAGTTTGAGGTCAGCTTGGTGTGTCAGGGTCTTATTAACCAGGCTGACAGTGGGACAGAGAAAAGGTTTCCAGCTCTACCTCCTCTACCAGACTGATGGTCTGTGGCTGCAGCCTCTTCATACCTGAGAGTCTCCAGTCTCCAGTGAGGATCTTCCAGTTCAGCAGACAGCAGCTTCACTCCTGAGTCTCCTGGATGATTGTAGCTCAGGTCCAGCTCTCTCAGGTGGGAGGGGTTGAAGCTCAGAGCCGAGACCAGAGAAGCACAGCCTTCCTCTGTGATCAGACAGCCTGACAGCCTGCAGACACACAGAATAAGACACGTCACATGATCTGAGGGAGCTGTGAGGGCTGGAAGGTCACTGCAGTACTGAGATACTATCAGGTACAGAGGGGTCACATTCACATGGTTACTGACTGGTTTCCAGTCACAACTAAACACCCACTAATGTACATCAACACTCTGATAACATTACTACTAACTCTAAATGTCAAATATTTACATTATATTGAAAATAAACACATTTTATGACTGGTTATAAAATGGTTTCCAGTCACAGTTGGAAAATACATATTTGATTTAAATCATGCAAGCAGAAAGAATCATATGAAGGTCAGAAATGTACCATGGATATAAATAAAGACACCAAGTGGACTTTAACTTAATCTGACCTGAGAGTCTCCAGTTCACAGTGTGGACTTTTCAATCCAGCAGAAAGCAGCTTCACTCCTGAATCTTGCAGGTGGTTGTTACTCAGATCCAGCTCTCTCAGACTAGAGGACTGGGAGCTGAGAACTGAGGACAGAGCATCACAGCTTCTCTCTGAGAGGTTACAGCCACTCAGTCTGAAGAGAGGGATGAAGAAGAAGCAGTAAGTATAAAAGATGGCA